TGTGGATGTGCAGATTTCTTTGGTGGGGTCATTGCCAAACTGAGATTGAGCTTTCTCAGTCAGCAGCAACCCAAGTGCAACCTGGTTGCTGGAGCAGTTGGGGCTGGTCCTGGACTCCAAATTGTTGTTGGGCCTGGGGTAACCAAGGGCAGGGGTTCTCAACCCTGGCTGGGAGCTTTTAATGTATATAGTGCCTGGGCCCACCCCATCCCCCAACCCCCAAAATCAGTAGTCTGGGCTGAGACCCAAGCATCAGTATTTTTTCAGACTTCCCCTGTTGATTCTTTTGTGAAACCAGGGTTGAAAATGGCCCTTAGCACACCAGACAAACTAAGTCTTCCACACCTGACAGCATGCTAGATGGGGACGACTAGCCCTGAATGCTAGAGCTCCACCACCAGCAACAACACTGTCCATCCCACCATTTGAGTAGAATTTGGCTATTCTTTGCCTCCCTTCTGCAATTATCTTTGCATCCTTCCCCCTCCTTGGGAGGCATCACCCTCATCCCTGTCACAAATCTCTGGGCCCTAGGGATGTGCCCCCTCACCCCCACCCCTAGCCAGTGTGTGGGCTGTGAGGCAGAACACAGCCTGGATAAATGAGACCCTCACACAGCCAGACCTTCCCTAATGGGGCTGGCTTTGCAAAGGAGATGACAGTCATTGGAGCAGAGAGCAGGGATTTATTCTCAACTGAGAACCGAAAAATATTGTAGGTAAACTGGAGCCTTTCCCTGGACGTAGGTCTGAAAGACAAGCTCACAGATAGCTGGTTTTCCCATCCCACAATAGTGTGATGGGGTCACCACTGCTGAGCAGTTTCACTCCCTGAAATGAGTTTTTAATTTTCAGCAACAATCTAATTAGTCCTGACCAATGCCTGTTCTTTTCTCTGCCTATTTGCTTGTGCCTTCGGGGTCAGTAGCTGGCAACTAACACCCACTAGATCTGAAGCGCCCAGATCACCATAAAGGCTGAGCTGATACCCTGCTGTAGATGCTATCACACACAGAAGGGAAATTAAAAGGGAAGCGGTACCACAGCCTGGCACCAAGCAGCTTCGTCACCCTACTGCTCGAATGCCGTGTTAGGTCCAAACTCCACCCTTTACAGTGAGCCTCAGGGTTACTGGAAAACTTGACAGGGGTGAACTAGGGACCCACAGAAGATGTCCCAGTTATTTTTAGTTTCCCCCTCTGTGCGAGACAGTATAGGATATAGAGCAAAACTAGATCTCGTGCTTTCAGTAATTAATAACTAAGGTAAAGGTTGACATTTAGTAAGGCCTGTGCACAGTACCATATATGCTTTTTCTCACTTATTCCCCAGAACAATCATTTTAACATATGGGAAAAAATGAGTTACAGATTAAGTAACCTGTCCAAGGTCATTCAGAGAGTAAGTGGTAGAACCAAAATTCAAACCAAATATGTCAGGTTCCAGAGCCCAAGCACTCAACCACTGTGATATTAGCTGCCTGCATATTTGGCACAGAGTTTTAGCCATTTGTTAAGCATATGGCCTAAACGGTGCAAGAAGAATCTATTGAAAGACAACAGTGTGCCCCCACCATTGCAGCTGAGGGATGAAGGACAGCATTCTGCTTTCTCTGCACTCTTGACTTCCCAAACAGCCATTTACCTACCAAAAGATTTTGCCCCTGTAAAGAAACCATTGCATAGCATATGACCTTCTGTAATAGATCAGCAACCTGTGGCCCGTCAGTTTGGCCCATGAGCCATACAAATAGTTGGGGGAAAAAAATCAAAAGAAGAGTATTTTGTGACACATGAAAATATATGGAATCAAATCTTGATGTCCAAAAATAAAGTTTTATTGGAACTGAGCCATGCTCATTTGTTTACATACTATCATTATGTTCGTAAGTACTTTTGTGCCACAAGAGCAGAGTCGACTAGTTGAAACAGAGACCATATGGCTTGATATTTCTTATCTGGCCCTTTACAGAAAATGCAGACCCCTACCAGAAGGAAAGATGTGAAAACTAAGCCAAACTGACAGTGTGGCCAAGAGAGTTTGCCCTGCCTTTTTGTTTTTGTTTTGTTTTTAAATAATCCCCTAGAGAAATCATCTTATCTCAGTGTGTTGTGCAACCCACTTCCAACAGAATATATAAGCAGTGGGACCCTCTCCCCGCTTCCCAAGTAGTCAGAAGCAAAGCAGCCTAGGCAAGACTCATGCTGAGCCCCCATCACCCTGCGGCAGGCCTTGTCCTTCCCGGGTCTCCACAGCTTCAAGACCCTCAGATCCTCTTCCTCTTCAACACATTCCTCATCAAAGGCTGGACGAAGTCATGTTTGGGAAAACATGCACTTAAATTTTATTTGTCCAAGATACCTTAACATCACACTGTGGTGAACTGGAAATTTAGAAGTTAAGAAGCTGACCTCCAGGGGGTTGAAATGATAAAGCTTTGTTAAGCCACATACTTCTGTAGTGCTTCCACATGTGTTCTTATTTAATCATTCTTTAACTTCAAGTGAATATCAGATAACACTGTTCATTTCCTCCTCTCTCTTTTGAGAGTCAAGTTTATGAGACTGTTTTCCCCCTTGATTTCTACATTCCACTTCTTGTACTTTTTGACACTCCCTTAAGATGTCATTTGTAGTATATTGCGGCTGGGAAATTGCCTTGTCCAATTTTTTTTTTCTTCAAAGAATTGAGTTCTTAATGTGGAAATAAATCACCAAGACTCAATGAGTTGTTTGTACATTTAAAAATCAGTTCTGATTTCATGAGCTGCTGGCCCGGAAATGAAATCCAATGACATAGATAGCTTCTTCCCTGCCTATGGAATCCTATTAAAGAACTACAACGTTCAGAGTCTCACTGATACCCAGGCTGGCTGTGGGGCCCAGCATGGGGCACTGGAGAGCAGAGGGGAAGGTGAAGCACTGCGGGGCCATCCTGGCTGACTTTTTCTAAAAATCTTCTTGGACTGAGTTTCTGAGCGCTCACTTCCTGTAGTCAAGGCCACGGGGATAGAGGCACGAAAGAGAGCAGCCAGAACAGCTTTGGTTAGGTTGGAGGTAGGAAGGCAGGATTAAAGGACCAAAACTTTATTGTGATGCTATCTGGATTAAAATCTTTCTAGTAAAATTTGAAGATTACCTACTTGCCATCCCACATCCATGGGAGAACTTACAGTGGTCGTGAGAATCCTGAGTATTGCAGAGCATGTTATGTACGTCCGCACACTTCCACATCCGGTACCGCCTGGGGCCCTCACGGAGTCCCGACTGGATGATCGACCAGGGCGGAGATGATGATTCTTCTTTAGATACAAAAATGGAAGCTCAGACAAATTGAGTTGTTTGCTTAAAGTAATAGAGATTGTTCACGACAATGGCAGTGCTGAGATTCTGGACTTCTGTTTTGTTTTCCAGCCCCACACAACCTCTGTAATGAAAGAATAATCTTCAGAGTCAGGTATACATGAGCTCAATATCAGCTTTGCCATTTAATAGCTGGGTACTTTGGACTGGTTATGAAATTCTTCCTTTCCCCATTTGTAAACAGAAGGGTAACAACTGATTCACAGACTCATGAGGTGCTAATGAGACCATGGGAGTGAGAACCTCAAATACAGTGCCTTCCACAGTGTGGGTGTTCAAGACTCTTTTCTTTTTGTTCCCTTAATACAAATCCCTTATGTCTCTGTGATGCATATATGTGTGCATACACATATATATTTGCATAATCTACATTGTCCATAAGAGATTAAGGAGACAAAAATTCTGTTTCTTAAGGTACAGTTAGATCCCCCAAAGGGTTAATAGCAGAGCTGGAACTAGAATTAAACAGGCCTCGTAACCTCTGAGCCCAGGCCATCCTTTAATGGCGACCTCACGCTGCTGGAGTCCTGTAGGTTTGATGACTAAAAAAAATCAAAGAACGTTTGCATTGAAGAGATGTAGATTCCTGTAGCCTTCGTGGTGAAGATGTACTTTCCCTCTAACCTAAGTCTCCCTAAACTGCCAGCAGGGCCCACACATAAACTACCCCCTCAGCAACGTCCCATTATGGTTTTTTAGATGCACAGCACACCTGTGAGTGTGCCTGTTCACATATAAAGACTCGGCTATCCAGACTAGGGCTTGGGCTGCCGTTTTTCCCTTGTTTGCCTGTTGAACGGCACCATGTGCCGTGTTCCAAGATGGCAGAACTGGTAGAATTGACATCTCTATTCCCCCGTTCCCCAAAGCACCTTTTTCCTGGGTTTGTAACACTGTCCCCTAAAAGTGCTGCTAAGGCCCCCTAGTGTCCCATGATAGCTACCCACAGGGAGCTCTGGGTGAGAATTAAATACATACCTAGTGCTCACTGGGCGTCACAGCCATGCAGTGACCGAATCTGTAAACTCCTTGGGTTTTAGTGGTTGAAAGTGGATACGTGTAGTATGACCAGCAGGAATTTGGGTGGATTTTATCACAGAACGCACTAGGAGGGTCTTAAATCATCTTGTGGGTGTGACAGCCGAGTTGTGCCACTCTCCCTTGCATTCCTGTTTTTGATGGGGTGTGAAGCAGTGTCTGTCCTTAACCCTTTTAGTTGACCCAGTACTGCTTTCTCAGTTTCTCCTCTGTGACCTCACCAGCTCACTTTGGCACTCTCCTTAATGTCTCCAGACTAGAAGTGAGTTCAAGGGCTGGAACAATTATAAACAGTTACTGATTCAGGAGGATGAAAGGGTACATGGTGTGGAACGTGAAATAAGATGTTACTGCTAAATATGCTAGTTCAAAAGATGGAGGTGCTGTGGTCTCCCATTAAATATGAACATTACCAGCTCAAGAAATAGGAAGATTCAGGGGACTTTCATCCCTGGGAGAAAGGGTAGTGACAGTCCACTGCATAAGCTGCCTCAGAACGCCCTGTTCACGGGGCTGGCCTGGCCTGGCCTGGCCTGGTCAGGGAGGGTAAGGAGGTGATGTTGCCAAGCTCTAACACACCTTTCCCTCTGTCACCCTACAGGTGTTAACAGAACTGAAATCCGACAACCAGAGGCTGAAAGATGAAAATGGTGCCCTCATCAGAGTCATCAGCAAACTATCCAAATAGACTTAGGCTCCCGATTTAGGAGGGAAAGGGCAGGATTTGCTGCCCCACCCCTCTTCTGCAGCCATTGCCTTCCAACCAAAAGAAGTGAATATTTTGGTGGAAGGACAACGTCTTTCTGACCCTCCTCCAGTCACCTCCTCTGCACTGTACATTTCCTCTGCACTCTCAGTGCCCTGTTCCTCCCATGCCCCCCCACCCCCTGAGTTTTATGACAGTTTTAATTGAAGCATGATTGTGATCATTCAAGCCATCTGGAGAAGGCCTTGGGGAGTACACCAGGCTCAGCTGTGGACCCCAGCTTCCTGCTGCTCAGCTACTTGTCCACATTGGATTTGGTCCAAACATGTAAGGCCTCTACCCAAACCAGTACCCCACAGCCTTTTACGCTGACCCAGTGTCCTCTGACATAGGTGAGTCTTACGGTGGCCATTCCAGGATCCTGTCTGGGATGCCAAGAGAAACAGGATGTTGGCATAATCATCGGACGGCCTCTGGAGCTCTGTTTCCATTAGATTCCAAGGTGACAGTGACTCTGCATTGAAGGTCTCTGCTAGTCTGCACCTCTCAGGAACTGACTTTTCTCTGACTCCTTGCTGGTGTTACTGTTACTTTTTCTATCAACAACCCAGTAACATCCCTGATTAGTCTTAATTCCTGTTCTTCCTTCATGCCTGGCCCCCTTCCCCAGGGCTCAGATGACCCTGGCTTCCTTTATTCCTTTCCTTTCTGTCTCCCCTCCCCCACCTTACACATGGTGTAAAAGCTAGAACAGAGCACCTGACCTCACTTGTCTTTGGCCACTGTGGAAAATCATTTCTCCTGGGGTGCTCTGGAGACCAGAAGAATTGCCTTGGCGGCACCACGGGCCATCTTGCCGAAAAGCCAGACCCTGGCATAAGTGCCAGCCCGCTGCTCTCATCTCCCACTTGTTTTCCCTACACAGTGATTTCCTTTATTAGGGAATCTGGGCTCTGGACACCCCGCTCTGCCTCACCTCCTTTCGACCTTGTTTTCCTCTCTTCACTCGGGCACCTGCTCCTAATGAGAAAGGAAGTCCTTGTAAGGAGGCATGAGAGCTGGGGAGGGTGGTTGGGTGGGAGGCGGACCAGGGAGTGGAAGCAGGTCGGAAAGACATATATGGTGTAAGTAGAGTATCTGGGGACACTTGCAACCTTGTGACAAAGAAGACAGAAGATAGATCGTGCTGTGGTAATGGTGGTGAATGTGATTGATTGTTTCCGGTGGCGAGATTTAGGGGAGAGGCATCTGTTTTCTTAGAAGCCAACAGGAGAAATGACTTCTTACTAGAGGTCTGAAGTGGTGAGATCCTCCCAACCCATTGATGAGAGTCACGGAATCTCAAGAGTGGCAAAGCCCAGAGGTCATTTGGTTGAGCTTTCTGTTGTCATGTGACAGGGACCCCCACCTGCACCCCACTGCCCCAGCTCTGACCCATAGTCAGGTAGCCGTGCATTTATTCCTCGAAAGGTGGGCAACTCTGATAACCAGAAAGCTTTTACTAAGATGAGTCAGAGTCTGTCCCTGGGTGCTCCACACGGTCCATAGTGCCCTTTGATGTGACAGCCCCTTGTGTAGTTGGTCACCTCCCCTTAACCTTACTTCGAACTGGCGTTTTCCCGGTCCTTTAAGGCATTCCTCACATAGCATACTTCTCCTGCCTGTCACATCTCATCTGTCCTCGTCTGGACAAAAACAGCCTTTGAAAATATCATGCCCAAACCTGGACAGATACTCCGTTAGCACAAAATTAAATGGTTGGTCCTTGATGATGACCCCATAGTAATATCTAACGTATTTGGTCTTTATAGGCATTTTCTCCCTTGGTTGGTTTATTTTGAGTGTGCAGGTCATTTAAGTCCTCCTCATTTGCCCGTGGTATTCAGTGCTTAGAGTGGGCCATTCTCTTAACATATACCACCTCTGTCCATTTTTTAATCTCTTTTCCGAAAATGACAATGTAGTTCTCCATGGCCCTCTGAAACATTACATGCTCGTTAAACCAGAGTTTATCATTCAAGAGCCTAATTCCAGAATAGGAAATATGTCTCCTCTAGCAAGACCCCATTTTTAGAATACCCAAAATTCTCTCTTCCGTTTCCAACCATTTTCCAAGAGAAGCTACTACTGATTAGGATTTTGTATGAGCATGGGAGCACTGTCAGCTCAGTTCTCAGGGAATGCTAAATTAGAGTAAAATGTTTCCTCACTTCCACTATAAACGTCTTCTTCATTCTAGGGAGAGGGAAAATCAAAACAAGGTGTTGACTAGTTGATTCTCCTGGCACATCCTGGATATTGGGCAAGGCATGGGGGTGGTTGCTGCCTCTTTCTCAGGAAAAGAAAACTGAATTATTAGGAAAACATTTGACCCTCTCCCATTAGATAGACTGGGTAAAGGGGTTACAGAGAGTTCCCTCATCTGTTTGTGCCTTTCAAAAGCGTGGGACAGAATCTAAAAACTCTTAGGTTGGTGTTATGGCCTGCTGCTTCACACAGCCCTTTCACATTAAAGATGCCTTTTCTTGCCAGAAAGTTTTCCTTGTGATGAAAAATTTACAAGCTTTTCAATCTCAGGAATATTGGATTCTATGACCAAGAAATCATGAAAGTGTAAACCATCCTAGGCAATTTCAGGCACTCTCTCTTATACAATTAATTTTATTAGACAGATAGACTCTGAATTCTGGTCCTTTCCCAGAGAATAAAATACCCTTTCTTCACAGTTGCTTTGACTGGAAGCCCCAGGAGTGATGGTTAGAGACCTAATGACCAGCCGTGTGCTCCGGGTGCCAACAGCAGCAGGCCTCCCTCCTCTTGTGCTGTTGGTCTGTTCAGTGGCCACATACCTTCTGTCCTCAACCTACTGGTTTGGATACCTGAGAGCACCCCAGATAGCTCAAGCTGCATGAATACTGCCGGTCTGGCCAACAATTTGGGGCTCAGCTGTGCTGTGTCACTTTTAGGGTCTTTACATGAAATATCAGAATGGGGATGAGAAGGTTCTTGGTACAACTTTATATCCTCTGTTCTCATTAATTTGATATTTTTCAAAGCAAGCCACACCTTTGAGAGTAATGATTCAGCCATTCCAGAGATTCTCTGGCTGAGGTTTCACTGCTTCGCCTATTTGTCTTTCAAGGGCTGCTTACTCTTTTCCAGATAGCTCTTGGGCATGATGACCCCTAGTCCCAGTCTCTAGTGCAACAGAGTTATGCAAATCTTGGGGTGTTGCCTCTAAAGAATCTAAAGAATAGACATGCCCTGGGTTTGTTCAGTGCACTAAATTCCCTATTGGGCAGTCTCACTTGATATGTCCTGGAACCTCCCTGGCTTTTTCTGTCCAACTGCAGGATGTGTTCGCTTCTCTTCTGCGCCTTCCTGTCTCCCACCCCATGTTTGGGGCCAGGATGTATTTATTGCTCTGTGAGGCCACGTGCTTCTCCTGCCCAAAACAAAACGTCCTTATTCGACAGTTCTGCCCAGAAACGAGAAGGCTGAAACTCCGTGTATTAGCCTGTGAATCCCACAAAAACGTGTGTGAACTACTGTTTTGCTCTCAGGGGCTTTTAAGTGAGCCAGGGGTGAGAGAAGAAGAAACGCTCAAAGCCACGCATTTGGTTTGGTCTCTGGATTTCTGGCCCCAGTGCAGCCTCCCCTAGCCAGATAGACTGCCTCCCCTCGGACAAAGGCCGGTGTTTCCGTCCTGATCACGTTGGCGGTCCTGCAGCAGGAGAAGCATGGAGATGAGAGATGGGCTATTGAAAAGATTGCCAGTTATTCAGCTTCCAGGCTGCTCTGCGCCACAAAAGGAAAAGCCTAAAGGATTCAGCAACTGAGCCACTAGGCAGGGGGAATTCCTGATACCAACCCGCTGGGGGAGCCACTGGTTCCCCTGGAGCTTAACACTGAGGTGACCCTACCTGGGCGCTGGCTGGGGGCCTTCCCTCCTGGCCATTCCCAGGGGCCACTGTTCGTGCTAGCACCACACCCAACTCTAGACACACAGCAGCCCCAAATCTAGGCCCAATTATAACTGCAGATCTTGGTCCCCACACTGATTTTTTTTTTTAAAGATTTTATTTATTTATTTGAGAGAGAGAGAATGAGAGATAGAGAGCACGAGAGGGAAGAGGGTCAGAGGGAGAAGCAGACTCCCTGCGGGAGCCCGATGTGGGACTCGATCCCGGGACTCCAGGATCATGACCTGAGCCGAAGGCAGTCGCTTAACCAACTGAGCCACCCAGGCGCCCCCCACACTGATTTTTAAGGCAGGTTTCAACCTATCAAAGGATGTGAGTCCTCTCACCCAATAAGCAAGGCAGCTTTGAGGGCAGAAAAAGGCAAGAGGAAGGGATAAGCCCCTAGGAGTCAGAATAGCTGGGTTCTAAGGCCAGCTCTTATTAGCCACGTGACCTTGGGAAAGTCACCTTCCCTGTCTGCAGAATGCAGTTGGACTGGATCGTCCGTAAGATCCCTTCCAGGCTTATAATTTCTATTCCTAGGAAGATCAGAACATTTCTTAAACTCGGAATTCTTACTCTTGTTTTCTTCTGACTGTTTTAACATTAGCACGTCAAGGTTGACTTCTCATCCTTGTTAGAAAGTGAATTTAATATTGAGGGTAATTGAATGGTGTTGCAATTGCTTTCCCTCCTAATGGCTTGGTAAGAATATTAAAACCTGCAGAGGTGGAAATTGGAGCTCATGGGGAAATGGATAGAAAGCAATTTGTTGCAGGCAGCCTTTGGACAAGTTGTTTTAATAGGAAATAGAGCTGCTGCTTCATAGATTGCCTCAGCCCTCTCGAATGTGGTCTACGTGGCCCTTAATATCCAAAGGGCAAACATTGCCTTTCTGCTTAGCACCAGCTTACACATAGTCTTAAAGTCTGCCCTACAGCAGCAAGAGAATTTTCCTCAATGAAAACCTCCACTTTTTAGTTCTGTGGAGCCCCTCTGGATTCTGGACTATCGGAAGTAGGAGGTTCTAGTGCTATTGAGGATGATCCTTCCTTTAAGCAGGTCTGCAGAGGAGACTACCAGTGCAGGAAGAAGTCATAGACCCTAAGTCCACACAGCCGTATTGCATAGAACAGCACTTAGCTCTGAAAAGCCTCCTGCAGGACTGGGTGTGAGTGGAGTGAAAGGACAGAGACCCTGCAAGTGAAGGTGGCCCGTGAGCTTGGGTGGGAAAGTGGGAAGGAGGC